CCTGGGTTCAGGCAATTCTCCTGCCTCAGCCTCCTGAGTAGCTGGGATTACAGGCACGCGCCACCATGCCCAGCTAATGTTTTGTATTTTTAGTAGAGACGGGGTTTCACCATGTTGACCAGGATGGTCTCGATCTCTTGACCTCGTGATCCACCCGCCTCGGCCTCCCAAAGTGCTGGGATTACAGGCTTGAGCCACCGCGCCCGGCCCTGACTCAATAATTTTTATGAGGATCTTTCTTAAGAAAATAATTCAAAAGGCTTAATGCCTAAACGTAATCACCTTGGCACTATATATTACAACTATTACAAGGTTAAAAATTATCTAAATCTTGAGCAACAGGGAAATGATTAAATGCATCTACTTGATTAGACTATCGTAAGGTCACTAAAATCAAGGTTAAGAGACAAATGCTCATATCATAATATAAAAATGCATGATATAAAGTTTTAGATTTGAAATAATCCCAGCCATAGAAAAGTCATATATATTTTGGAGAAATATTGGCCAAAAAATTAAATTTTTAATATTGGTTGTTTCATACTATAGGGTTAAAAATAATTTTATTTTCGGCCGGGCACGGTGGCTCAAGCCTGTAATCCCAGCACTTTGGGAGGCCGAGGCGGGTGGATCACGAGGTCAAGAGATCGAGACCATCCTGGTCAACACGGTGAAACCCCGTCTCTACTAAAAATACAAAAAATTAGCTGGGCATGGTGGCACGTGCCTGTAATCCCAGCTACTCAGGAGGCTGAGGCAGGAGAATTGCCTGAACCCAGGAGGCGGAGGTTGCGGTGAGCCGAGATCGCGCCATTGCACTCCAGCCTGGGTAACAAGAGCGAAACTCCATCCCAAAAAAAAAAAAAAAAAAAAAAAAAAAAATTATTTTCTTGTTAATATTTTCTGTTATTTTCTCATATATACAACTTATTCTGTTTGTATTCAGGTCAAAAAAGAAAGTTTTTATTTAAAAAAAAAAAAAAAAGACCATGGCCCAAGGAAAAAAGAAGTAGAGGACATTTAGGGGTAAAATATCATGGGACTCCTAGTTAAATTCCTCTGGATTTGAGCATTAGAAAGGCTGGGGAGGAGGCGGTCGTGGTGGCTCATGCCTGTAATCCCAGCACTTCGGGAGGCTGAGGCGGGCAAATTACATGAGGTTAGGAATTTGAAACCAGCCTGACCAACATGGTGAAAATTCGTCTCTACTAAAAGCATAAAATTTAGCCAGGCATGGTGGTGTGCATCTATAATCCCAGCTGCTCAGGAGGCTGAGACGGGAAAATAGCTTGATCCCAGGAGGCCAAGGTTGCAGTGAGCTGAGATAGAGCCACTGGACTTCAGCCTGGGTGACGAGTAAGACTTTGCTAAAAAAAAAAAAAAAAAAAAAAAAAAAAAAAAAAAAGAAAAGCTGGGGCTGGGGAGGGTCCTGTCCTCCTTCAAGGATCATAATTATCATTATCATTAAAGTATAAGATCTAAAATGATCAGAGAAGTAAAAATTGTCCTATCACCTAGAGTTCCCTAGATTTATTCCTCAACAACTGAACTCAGGTGAAATAACTATTCTGACCTACATATTAAGTAGCTAAATTACCAAATGCTTTACTAACAGTAAAAGTATCATTAATATACCAAGAGAGTTTTAAAAATTAGAAGAGTAGTGTTTTATGCTATTAAGTTTAATCAATAGAGGATTTTTCATATTCCTTACAGTTAGAACATAATCCTCTTAACGTCCCTATGAGGTAGAAAAAGTAGTTATTACATTTAACTCCAATTTTCAAATGAGGATATCAAAGCTCAGAGAGGTTCAGAGAATTTCTGACTACCACTCCTGTGCTATTTTCTCTCTACAATACAAATATTCTAGTCTGTTAATTGAACTGGCATTTTATGGGCGCAGTGGTTCACGCCTGTAATCCCAGCACTTTGGGAGTCTGAGGTGGGTGGATCACCTGATGTCAGGAGTTAGAGACCAGCCTGACCAAAATAGTGAAACCTCATCCCTACTAAAAATACAAAAATTAACTGGACATGCTAGCAAATGCCTGTAATCCCAGCTACTTGGGAGGCTGAGGCAGGAGAATCGGTTGAACCTGGGAGAGGGAGGTTGCAGCGAGCTGAGATGGCGCCATTGCACTCCAGCAGCCTGTGTGACAAGAGCAAAACTCGGTCCCACCTCCTCCCCCAAAAAAGAAAAGGAAACTGTCTGTATTGTAATTTTTAACTAGATAAAAACATGGGCTGGACATGGTGGCTCATGCCTGTAATCCTTGCACTTTGGGAGGCTGAAACAGGTGAATCACTTGAGGTCAGGAGTTTGAGACAAGCCTGGCCAACATGGTAAAACCCTGTCTCTACTAAAAATACAGCAATTAGCCTGGTGCTGTGGTGGGTGCCTGTAACCATAGCTACTCGGGGGGCTTAAGCAGGAGAATCATTTGAACCTGGGAGGTGGAGGTTGCAGTGAGTAGAAATCATGCCACTGCACTCCAGCCTAGGCAACAGAGTAAGACTCCATCTCAAACAACTCAAAAAAAAAAAAAAAAAAAAAAAAAAACCCTGCATACGTTCAAAGGAGTCAAGCAGATAAACAAAAGTTTCTATGTTTTTAAGTGGTGGGAGTGTGGCTGAATATTTTCTTTTACCTTTTTAAAACACTGCTTATGTTAGGGACCACAGACAATTCAGTATCTTTCAATCCACCCTGCTGAAGCCTGGGCCTGGGCATATGGAAACCCCCTCCTGCTTCTTCTGCTCGATGTGGACCCCTGAGTGCTCCCAGGTGGCCCTGGTTGCACATGCCCCAAGCCTTACCTGATACTAAGTCAGTTAAGGTATCGCAAGGTATGACCTAGGCTCCCCTCACCTGACGGGCTTCTGTGAAGTTCCCTCGAAGGATGCAGGATGCCAGCAGTGACTCAGGTGGGGAGAACATCATGGGGATGAGTGAACTTTGAGGATGGGGGTACAATCTGCTGTCCAGCTCATTCTGCCCAGACACGGTGCTCAGACTTCCCTCTGTTGGGACACATGAATGTGTGGGGCCAGAGAAGCAAGAGGAATTGAGGAAATGCTATATTGCTGTCACCTCCCACCAAACTTTTATCTCCTCAATGTCTGTCTGTAAAAGGTCTGTAAATAGGTCTTAATTTTTCCTCAAATGAAGGGCAAACCTATGCTATTATCTTTGAATATAAGATGTAAATGCCAATTACCTTGCTTGGGTATTTACCTCTATTTATCTCTGCTGCTGGATAACTAAATTGAGAATGAAACAGTCCTTTCCCTTCTCCCAGCTAAAATATGGCCATATGCCAACCTTGAAAAACAACTTTGACTGCTTAATCCTGGCTTTACATCATGGTATATGGTAACTCACTATCAGGGCAAAGCTGCTCAAAATTGGCAGCTGGTGGAAATCTGCATACCTGATGTACTTGTGCTCAGCTCACTACTTGTACTTTCCAGAGATGGGCTGGAACCTTTGTCTTGGCCATCTACAGGTATTGGGAAGAAAAGAGAAAGTCAATCATCAGCTCCTTATAGAGTGGGAAGTATGACATTGGCTTGAAAGCCAAGATCTGGGTAGTTAGAGACAGAGGACAATGATTACTATGACACCTGCTGTTTTTTCTAAAGCAAAACAAAAACTCCTACAGACCAAAGGCAAAGGGTGGGCTTAATACGGCAACAGGGTTCACTTGGGTAGTAGCCTATACCAGTAGTTCCCAACCTGTGGGTCTCAAAGCCATAGGAACTTTCAAGTTATTTTTAGGACTCAGTGATCGGCACCTGCTCAGTAAGCACTGGCAGTATTCTGAAAAAATAAAAGCACAACTGTTATAACCAGGAAGTAGTAAGGACACAATATTTCCTGACATAGAAAAAGGTGTCCTCATACTTGAAAAAGTAGAAAACTGGCTGGGTGTGGTCGCTTACACCCACCTGTAATCCCTGCACTTGGGGAGGCCATTGCAGCAAGATAGCTTAAGCCCAGGGGTTTGAGACCAACCTGGGCAATATAGCAAGACCTTGTCTACACAAAAAATTAAAAACAAACCACTTGGGCAAGGTGGCATGCACCTGTAGTGCCAGCTGCTCAGGAAGCTGCGGCAGGAAGGATTGTTTGAGCCCAGGGTTCAAGGTTACAGTGAGCTATGATCGTGCCATTGCACCTCAGCCTGAGAGACAGAGCAAGACCCTATCTCTATTAAAAAAAATGTAGGAAACCAAAGTCTAAGACCTGGCTGGCTGAAGGCCATAATATTCAAAGTCTCAGAGAAAAAGGTTCTTCTCTTCTCAACACCACGTTTTCTAACGTGCTAGAGCTTTCTAACAGAGGCTCACTATTCCTTAGCATGGTCATTTGAGGGGCTGTCTCAGCCTAATACAAGGGAGTCCCCTCAGTTCACTGTCTGGGTTGCCCTTTAGAAGGAACAGCTGTAGGAAAGAGACGGTGGGTTGTGCATTCTTGGGCTGAAGGGGTCGAGTGGATGCAAATTCTGCCTTCTGACCCAAACTGATTAATGTAGCAGCTTGAGGGACTTAGCAACTCAACCTTGAAGGTTTCTCTCATGGCATCCTCCATCCTACCCAGTATGCTCACCTTTCATGTTGCCACTTAGCTAGAGCCCACTCATTCTCTGGAGCTTGGTTCAAGAGTCAACTCCTTCATGAAACCTGTTGCCCTGACATCTGCAGGTCATGTTGATGTCCCCTTTTAAGACATGTCTGTTTTCAGGCAGGGCCTCAGGTCACTTTAAACTTTTCATGTTTACTGTCTAAGCAGGTACATTACAAATTGTTTGAAGTTTAAGGCCCAGTTTTTGCCTCATTTACTGCCCTCAAGATACCTAGTATTGTTTAGCCCACAGGAAATCCTCATGAATTTCTTTCAATTTTTAAAAGATCAACACCAAAAACCATAACAAAACTTGATTCTCTAAAAATTTAGTACTCCTGCATAATGTGCCTATATTAAACTTCTCAAAGAAAAGCCCATAAGCAGAATAAAAAGACAAAATAGAGAAAAATATCATAGCACATGAAGACAAAGTATTTTCCTTAATGTATGAAGAGCTTTCTACAATTCGACAAGAAAGAAATTCCTAAAAGAAAAATGGACCTTAGACACTAGCCAGTTTACAGAAAAATATAAATAGCCAATAAATATGCGAAAAGACATTCAATCTCAAACTAAAAACAAAAAAACAAAAAAACTACTAAAGCAAGGAAACATCATTATTTTATCACCCATATTGGTGAAGGTTTAAAAAAATCTAATACAGCTGACTGATGAGAGTATGTGCAAATAGGTAAACACACATAGCTTGCAGAACTATAAATCATAGGAGAGAAGGATGGAGAGAGGGTGGTTAATCAATACAAAATCAGAGCTAGATAGGGATCAGTTCTGCTGTTCTGTAGCACTGCAGGATGAATATGGTTAACTACAATCTATTATATATTCTCAAAAAGCTAGAAAAAAAGGATTTTTTTTTTTTTTTGAGTTGGAGTCTCACTCTGTTACCCAGACTGGAGTACAGTGGCACGATCTTAGCTCACTGCAACCTCTCCCTCATAGGTTCAAGAGATTCTCCTGCCTCAGCCTCCTGAGCTCAGCATCCGCCACCACACTCAGCTAACGTTTGTATTTTTAGTTGAGACAGGGATTCACTATGTTGGCCAGGCTGGTCTTGAACTCCTTACACAAGTGATCCATCTGCCTTGGCCTCCCACAATGCTGGGATTACTGGTGTGAGCCACAGTGCCTGGCCGAAGAAAGGATTTTGAATGTTCACAACACAAGGAAATGACAAATGTTAGAGGCGGTGGATACAATATTACTCCAATTTGGTCATTACACATTTTATAAACATATTGAAATATCACTGTGTATCCCATAAATATGTACAATTATTATACGCCAACTAAAAATAAAAAGGCAGCCGCGCACAGTGGCCCATGCCTGTAATTCTAACACTTTGGGAAGCCAAGATGAGTGGATCACTTGAGGTCAGGAGTTCAAGATCAGCTTGGCCGACATGGCAAAACCTCATTGCTACTAAAAATACAAACATAAGCTGGGCATGGTGGTGCGCACCTGTAATCCCAGCTACTCAGGAGGCTGAGGCATGAGAATTGCTTGAACCCAGGAGGCAGAGGTTGTAGTAAGCTGAGATCATGCCACTGTACTCCAGCCTGGGCAACAGAGCAAGATGACATCTTCAAAAAAAAAAAAAAGAAAGAAAAGAAAAAGTAAAAGGGAAAAAATAATAAGACCTACTTCACAGTATTGTGAGGATTAAATAAGTTGGCAATTATAAGGAATGTGGAGCAGCATCTGGCATATAATGACTACTTAATATTAACTCATAGAAAAAAATATATATTGGTCTACCTTATTTTTAAGGCAACTGGGTAATATCTATCTGTATTTTATATCCACATACCTCTGACCCAGTAATTCTGCTGCTAGGAGCTTATGCACAGACATGTACAAGGTTGTTTACTACGGGACTGTTTATAATAGTAAAAAACTTAAATGTCCATGAACAGGGTGTTTTTGACAATGGAACACTAAGGAGTATTTAAAATGGTAAATGAAAAAAGTTCTCAATTTACAGTATATCGGTATATATAAAAAGATATAATTGAAAAAATCAAGCTGCAGTTCTCAATATATAGTATAATGCATGTGTATATATAAAAGAATATACATGTTTGTACTGCATGGAAAATTTCTGGAAGGATACATAGGAAACTATTAATAAGGGTTACCTTGGGGGAGTGGGAATAGGATAATTTTACACTTGTTGTCTTTGACCATGTGCTGTTTCTTAAAGAATATTAGACAAGTAACATTACAACACTTGCCTAGTGCATGGGAATGAGCTCTTGAGATTACCTGCCTGGCTCCTTCTTGTCCGACGACCCCGGCGGAGACTGGGGTGCCGTAGGGCAGGCCGGTATCTTCGGGAAGGTTGCTCCTCTGAAAGAGCAAACCCAATGGGACATACAGGAGAATGATCAACTTTGATTTGGACCCCTCTTGGTGTAACAGGTAGGGGAGGGTTTGCACTGGGCTCTGAGACATGGAGCATACCCCAGTGTTCTGACGCTGGTTGCCATGGTGATATGTCCTGAGTTATGGAGTGACTCCCATGTACTCCTAGCTCTCTCCCACATTCCTGGGATCTTTCTCTCTCCCCACCTTCTGGTCCCACCAGTTCATCCTCCTCTCACCTGAACGACGGTTGCTTGTCACCACCTTGTATCTCCACTGGGCCTCAGAGAGAACCTTGGAAAGTCGATGCAGGCGGCTCTGCAGTCCATCTCTGCTTCCTGAACAGCTCTGACCTTCTTGCTTTGGCTTCTCAGGGAGGTTGCGGCTGCTGATCTCATCCAGTTTTTCTTGGAGAAGCCTGAGGAAGGCCCCTATTGCAAATTCATCAGCCAGAAATCCACTGATACCACTAGTAAAGTGCTTTAAGTCCAAAAAGCTGTGCCTATGAGGCCCTGGGTAACTGCCTTTTGGCTCTGCCTTCAAACGGCTTGGCACTGTATAAGCAATGCTCTTTGGGATTCCCAGGGAACCCCATTCTGACTTCCTTTCAGGATGTGCTATGTGCTGAGGGCTCTCTGATGGGGACCTCAAACCTGCGGGGCTTTTCCCCTCAATGTCATCGTCCTCAGCATAGTCCTCAGGCAAGTGAGGTTCTGGGTGAAGATCAGCAGAGGTGATGAGAAGCAATGAGAAGATGTTTTCTAGAAGCTCCAGGCACAAAGAGTCAGGAATACTGCACAGATACTGTTGACACTTGGCCAGGTAAGTTGAGAAGAGATTTACAGCACCTACAAAAACATGTACAAGAGAAGAGGCCAGAGAAAGAGAAGACAGAGAATGCAAACATTAGAAACATTACCTCCCAGAGTCAAAGATTCTCACAGCTTTAGCTCATTTATTTATTTAATTCCAAAGGAACTGAGGTAACAGTGAGAAGTCTAAGAGAGACTTCTTAGGCTGTCTCTTCATGATTTGCAGAAAGATTTTGCTATTCTAAAAGTACAGCTGGCTAGGCATGGTAGCTAATGCCTGTAATCCCAGCACTTAGGGAGGGTGAGGCAGGCAGATCACTTGAGCTCAGAAGTTTGAGACCAGGCCTGGCCAACATGGTAAAACCCTGTCTCTACTAAAATACAAAAATTAACCAGGCATGGTGGCAGGTGCCTGTAATCCCAGCTACTTGGGAGGCCAAGACAGGAGAATCGCTTGAACCCAGGAGGCGGAGGTTGCAGTGAGCTGAAATCACGCCACTGCACTCTAGCCTGGGCGACAGAGTGAGACTCTGTCTCAAAGGAAAAAAAAAAAAAAGTACAGCTTACGGAAAACTCATTATTTTGTATCTGCTTTGTAAATATTACATTGTTCCTCATCCCTGATAAGGACTCCATATTTCACTTCCAGGAATGAAGGTAGCAGGCAGGCCCTTTACTCTTCAATTCCATTTCCACTTATTTTTACACTAAAGGTGATCATGGCTATGTAGCTCTCTTAAGAAATCCTCAGTAGGCAAAAATGACCATGCTAAGAGGTAAAGGTCTATTCCAAAGCTCGAAGAGAGGGAAAAATGATCACTAGTCACAGAAGGCAAGTTAAGGAATTGTCAATTATTAAGAAAAATGAGAGAGGATAAGATGATTATCCTCTTAGGTTGGTACTTTTCACATTGTAGACTGTGACCTCTGAAATCACTTTAGAAGGCTACATTTTAAAAGATCAAATAGGAAAGAAAAATAATCCGGAGTGTGCTCTATGAAGTAAGCATTGTTTTTAAAACTTTGTTTCAGTTTATAGATCATATATGCACACACACATATGCAAACACACAAAGTTTTTACCTTGGTGCAAACTGGAGGAGGATGTAAAATGCCATTTCTACCGTGAAATTAGTTTTTTAAAAAAGCAATTGAAAACACCCCACTAGGTGATCAGATGCTGTTAAAACTTAGGCAATCACTTGCTTTTCCCATGTCCCTTTGATTTACAGAGGCAGATAGATGGATGAGACTATTCCTGGGTGAAATAAAATTAAGACCATCACCCCACTCCCAATCTTGGTGGGAGAGAGTCAACACATAAAGCCCCTACTGGCATAGGTTGTTACCAGCTTATGTCAGGGATGGAGGGAAGTGCTGTACCTGGGGAGGAAAGAGAGTCATTCACTTGCTCTGCAGCTGAAGCCAGGTCCTCACAGATGCTGTCTTTGCAGTCCTGGCACTGAGAGTGCTGATGTGAGTTCACACAGAGGGCATAGATGGCATACTTCATGGCACAGAAGCCCTGGTAGAGTGTCAGGTTCTGAGACTGGCTCAGGTGCTCAGGGACTGCAGCATCAACTGCATCTGAATTACAGAGAGAAACAGGCTTAACTTAAGAGTTAATCCCTTCATGCTGCAAGTATGGGTGAAGCAAAGAGATGCTGTGCTGCACTTAGAGGTCCACCTGTAGGTTCTTACCCTCTCTCCTTTCTGTTGGTCTGACTAGAGCTTTCCCTCTAGTCAGTATCAACTTTCAGTTCCCTGCACTTCCTTTCCCCCATCAGCTCCCTTCCACATATCTCATGACTTCTACATGGCATTATTGCCCAGGGCCAGGACTTGCACCTAAGAGTCAGTGCCTCCTTAAATTTTGTACCTTAAATATCTCTCTTGCCTCACCTTAGTTACAGCCTTATTATTGCCTCATTTTGCCTTTTCCAAGTTCAAGTTCCAAGTATGCCCCAGTGGGTCCAGGGATCAGATTTAGCTGGGCATGGTGGTGCGTGCCTGTAATCCCAGCTGCTCAGGAGGCTGAGGCAGGAGAATTGCCTGAACCCAGGAGGCGGAGGTTGCGGTGAGCCAAGATCGCGCCATTGCACTCCAGCCTGGGTAACATGAGTGAAACTCCGTCTCAAAAAAAATAAATAAATAAAAATAAAAATAAAATAAAATAAAATACTGTATTCCTTTGGAGAGCCTGTATACTTGCATGTAGGAGCAGAGTTCCTATTCCTATAGGAAATCTGCTAAACAAGCTGCCTCTCTTTCCAGAAAAAACGTGGAATCTAATAACACTGGTTCTCCAATTAGTAGCAGGTCCTTTTGAAAAGTAAAGCAACATCCAGGCTGCGAAACCTCGACTGCCATTTAAGAAAGTTTGTGTCTCCCAAAGATAAGTGTCTCTGACCTGTGTGGTAGGTTGTGACTATACAATGATACGTTTCTTAGGAACAAAAAGAAACATATACATTCCACAATGTATACATGCATCAACACATCACAGTTGTATTCCCAAAATAGATGCAATTATTATTAGTCAATTAAAAATAGGGTAACAGTATGTGGGGTGTGGTGATAAGTGCCTATAGTCCTACCTATTAGGAAGACCGAGACAAGAGGATCATTTGACCCCAGGAGATTAAGACTAGCTTGGGCAACATAGCAAGACTCCTTCTCAAAAAGAAACAAACGAACAAAAAAACCATGGTGAGAATTCATTTGAGAGAGGAGAGAAATAAGACAAAACTTAAAAAGGAAGAGCTTTTTAATGGGGTCTTGAATGTAAGCAAAGGTCTTAGGTTAAAAAAAAGGCTTTGTTCCTGTTTCAGACAAGTCTTTCTTCTTCTTTTTTTTTTTTTTTTTTTGAGATAGAGTCTCATTCTGTCACCCAGGCTGGAGTGCAGTGGCGGGATCTCAACTCACTGCAACCTCTAACTCCCGGGTTCAAGTGATTCTTCTGCCTCAGCCTCCCGAGTAGCTGGGATTACAGGCACACACCACCACACCGGCTTATTTTTTATATTTTTAGTACAGACGGGATTTCATCATGTTGGCCAGGCTGGTCTCGAACTCCTGACCTCAAGTGGTCCACCCACTTCAGCTTCCCAAGTGCTGGGATTATAGGCATGAGTCACCACGCTGGGCCCAGGCAAGTCTTTCTTCTAAACTTCCTATCTGTTATATGTATATGAAGCGGACATGTGAGAAAAGGCACAAAACATGCTAACGGAAAGCTTATAAACCATGAAGTCACTCCCTGAGAATTTGTGTAAACACTGACTGACAATGCTGTGTACTCAGAGGGCAGTTCCTAATTCTGTTTCACTGGAATGAGGCTTTAGTGGTGGTTCCTTTGATGGGTCCACAAGGACAAAGAATGCGGGACCATGCTCATGGGATTCTCTACACCTCACCAAGAAAGAGGAGGGATGCCCTATATCCCATAGTCTGATTAGGACAAACATTTAGAGGAGATCTGCTCACCACCTTCTTGTAAGATCTCAGCAATCACAAGTAAATAAATCTCATGCTGGAAGAAACATGCAAAACTGTCCTAAGAGGAAATCCTGGCCAGGTCATTCCATCCCAACTCACCAGGTTCTTGCTGGGGGTCCTTGGCTGGCACCTTCTGTAAGAGCTTGAGAACATCTTCCTCCCTGAGGGCTGGAAGGTTTGTAAGGTGATGGAGAGTGTAGAGCACTGAGTGGCTGTCTCCACCATGTAAATGACACAACAGATCTCTCTTTGGTATGGGGTTGCTGAAGGGGAAAGTCAGGAGGATGGAAGAGAAACAGTTTATATTGCCCGAAGAAAGATCAATCTCCATTCCCTCTTGTTCTTCCTCTCTGGACCATAATGCCACAAGTTTCACTTCCCCACAAACCAAATTTTAGTTGGTTTGGGTCCAAGCATAGCATTTATTTATCCTCAGGGAATACATCTATCCAATCAGCTCTAGTTGTCTAGAAAGGACCTAGAAAGGACCTTTCTGGTCAGTAGGGTTTAGAAAGGGCCTATGGATTGAATTCTCTAATTTCTACAGCCTTTCTAGCTTCAAACAAACACAATTTTCTCTGGCTTTACCTTGAGTAAGGGTCCCCTGCTACTTCCCCCTCTGCCCACTGTACTTCACCAAGTGCTGGTGAAGTGGCTGAAGAACAAGAAAGAAACCTAAGTCTAGGTTACGTTATCAGAGAAACGCAGGGCCTCACGCACAGTTGAGTAAGCATTTGTTGAATATGGGTGATCCAAGGTAACAGAAGGCTAAGAACATGGGTGACATTATGAGCTGTGTGACTTTGGACAAGTTATTTTCTATCTCTGGGCTTCAGTTGCCCAACTTTTACAATGAGGATAATTTTGGTATCTACCCACAGGATTTTTGTGAGGAGTAATTAAAATCATCCATGTAAAGGGCTTAGAGCAATGCCTGGCTTGTGGTAAGCGCACTGGAAATGTGAGCTATTGTTCTTTTTGTTATTGTCATATTAAAATTATCCTCTAGTTATGACCTGACGGCTATGGTGAAGGTAACAATTACTTGTGTTTCTTGGTTTAATAGCTGGAACAATTATTAGTGGCTGGTCAACATTGCCAGCTCAAAACATTTATGTGGAAGATGCCTTGAAATGGCCACACATGTGGAGCACAGGGTCCGCTGTGCCCCGTGGTGGGCAGGTGCTGACTGCACAGGGCCATACCTGCTCTGCTGTATGCACCACTCCAGGACCTCGAGGTGAGCCCACAACCCATCACAGGCATCCCTGAGGAGCTCATCACAGCCTGGGTCCTATGTCAATATGGGAGAAGAAAGAGATGCTGACTCAGGCACCTGGGGTTACAGATTATGACTGACTTTAGGGCTCTGCATTCTGCCTCAGCCCAAAGCCCCATGGCTCTCACTTGCAGAGCAGCCTGAGTGCTGAGTGAGAATTACCTGGGTCCTGTGCAGGGTCTGGAGCAGCCTCTTGGCTGACTCTAGGCTCTGGCAGTGTGTCCAGCCCAGGAGCACAAGCAGGCAACTAAGGGGCCTGAATTCTCTATCAAGTAGGCAGCCAAGATTTGGGAAGTCTTCTTCTTTCAACAATGTTAGTGCTGTTACCTGTAAGTCAAAGAAAGCTGTTAAAGGCAGCTCTGTGGATAAGACGGAATGGGTTCTAGCTTACTGCTCATTAGAGAAAGAAGTGTTTTAGTAAAGCAGGGAGGTTTCTGACAACAACAGGAGTGGTTGGCCCAGCGCGGTGGCTCACACCTGTAATCCCAGCACAAAGGCAGGTGGATCACCTGAGGGCAGGAGTTCAAGACCAGCCTGGCCAACATAGTGACACCCCATCTCTACTGAAAATACAAAATTAGCCGGCATGGTGGCACACGCCTGTAATCCCACCTACCCGGGAGGGTGAGGCAGGAGAATCACTTGAACCCAAAAGGTGGAGGTTGCAATGAGCCAAGATCTTGCCACTCCACCTGAGTGACAAAAGCGAAACTCTGTTTCAAAAATAAAAAAAACAGAAGTGATGAACTGAGTAAGATAAATGTTTATGAAAACACTAGACTGTGAGCTCCTTGAAGACAGGGACTGACTTTTGCTGTAACTTCAGCTCCTATTACAGTATACGGCACATAGGAAGAGGGTAATAAATATCTGCTGAATTAAATTGGAGTTTTGTTGCAATCTGGAAGGAAAAGGTTAAAGTAATTAAATTCTGCTGTCAGCTACGCAACATATTGTTGCCACTGTCTTTTTTTTCTTGCATCCTCCAGAAAGCACACACATATTCAACATTTTAGTTTCTGCCAAAGGACTGACATAAAATGACTGCAACTCTAAGTATGAATGATACTGATTCTCAGAGCCTCCTTTCCCATGTGACTCTGGGAGGGACAAAACCAAATGACTCAACACTAATTAGACTGTTTTATGTTGGCTAAATGAGTGGGAGAGAAATGAGGAATGAAAAAGTCTGGGGAGAAGCCCTAGGTACTTCTGTAACGAACAATTAAGCTTGACTTACCAGGATCTGCTCGAGGAAGTGTTTGTTGTTGTTCAGGCAGTAGAAATAGGCCACTTTCCAAGCCTGGGCTGGGTCGGGATTGGAGAACAGGGCTAGCATTGCCCGCTCAGGGTCTAGATGATCTGGTGAGACTGAACATCAAACAATACGGTTATCAGGAAACCAAGACCTCTTCTTTTCTAAGCTAGAGCCCAATTGAACAACCAAGTGATGTGAGAGTTTGCTCTTTTAAAACCTTAGGCTGGGTTTTCCATACTTTAAGAGTCTTTACTTCTCTTGGGAACTTCTGAAAAGCTTTTTCCTGCTATTGCTATTACTTTTTTTCTTCCCATCACCTCCATCTTACACTAGAAAACCTGTACTTTTTTTTTTTTTTGGAGATAGGGTCTCATTCTGTCATGCAGGCTGGAATACAGTGGTGCAAACATGGCTCACTGCCTCAAACTCCTGAACTCAGTGATCTTCCTGCCTCAGCCTTCTGAGTAATTTGGACCACTGGTGTGCGCCACCAAGACTGGCTAATTAAAAAAATTTTTTTGTAGAGATGAGAACTCACTATGTTGTAGAGGCTGGTCTCGAACTCCTGGCCTCACATGATCCTCCTTGCCTTGGCCTCCCAAAGTGCTAGGATTATAAGCCTGAGCCACTATACCAGGCCTGTACTTTTACAAAAGAGCATCATACCCATTTTTGCTTAGCCTCCCCTATTAGATGTCCTAAGCAACCTGGAAGGCACGTCTAGAGACTCCAGTGAGGCTGGGCATACTGGGATTACTGAAACTAAAGGAGCAGCAGCAAAGGGAACACACCTTTTCCAGAGGCTGTAGCCCTCGATGGCTTTTCTGTGACCTTCTCTGCATAGGTATGGCCGTAAAGGGACACCAGGCCCCGGCTGGCCTTGTGCAGCAGGCAGCTGAGCACCCGCTCCTCCCGCAGGGGACTCCCCTCAGTCCTGCAGGCCTCTAGTAGTTCCTCACACAGAAGACGCAACTCAGCCCCAAATGGTTCTGCAGGGCAACGCAGAGTCTGCAGGGCTGCATAGATGGCATCAACTACCCCAGGGGGTGCTGCTGAATCAGGGCCCTGCAAAGCCCGCAATGCCTTTCGAATGAGGTCCACCAGTGCATTCTGCAGAGGCCAATGACAGAGGCTAGTGCCATCATTCTCCCCAAGCAGGAGCTCCAGCAGGGCCTGTGCTGGCTGGGGGGACTGCCTCAGAAGATCCCAGAGCACAGAGACAGCTTCGGAGCTGAGACGAGGAGTCCAGCTCTCCCTCCTCGGATTTCCGTCAGGCCCGGGGCCTATTGAACCTTGTGATAAGGTCTCACACAGCTCCTAAATAGAGGATGAAGAGAGGGGTGGGTGGTGGGGATGTTATCACTTGTGTGCCTTCATGCTTTCCTGTTTTTTGGCTTATTTATGTAATAGTAGCAGTAGCAAATACTTCTGTAGTAGTTACTATGTGTCAGACACTGTTCTAAGGCCCTTTACACAGAAAAATCAAATTAATCCTTACAATAGTCTTCAGAGGAAGACACTATTATTACGCCTGTTTTACAGATGATGACATGGAGGCTGGGAGAGATGGACTCAATTGCCCAGGGCCTCCATGCTCAAGTTAATCCCACCTCACTGCCTCCAAAATGTGTACTGTGATGTGAATCAAGGTCTGCCAACTCACAGACTAGGTAAGACATTATGCCCATCGAAAGGCATTTGCATTCAATTTTTAAAAGAACATCAGTTTTTAATCCTTGAACTAAATCCTAGCCATGCTTTTAGCCCATTTGTTAACCTTCCATAAAACCTTCTTCAATACCTCTAACCCATACGACTTCAATGTACTTAAAATTAGTACCATATGATTTAACACAAAATTGTGCATGTTTTAGTCCTTCTTCCTCAGTCACCTAAAAGCAAGAACCTCTAGAGCCTGTCCTCTGTTTGTAGGGTGAGGATACAGGGAGAGAAGGGGGTGAGAACCAGGTTATTTCCCACTCTTGAGCACCATGTCTGTAGATGGTATTCAATGATGCCTCTTCATTAACTGCCTCAGAGAAGGACTGCAAGAGTATGAGTCCTCTACCTAATACAAGTGAAAGTTCCTCTCTTAAATCCTACTGTAAATATATATTTAACTAACTGGTGGCGGGGTCATTAAGAATATAAGTACTGGGCTTCAGAATATATACATATCAGGCACTAAAGTAGTAACTGATACATGCTATAAAGATATAATTAAGACTTAGTTTGAATCTGCCCCTAGAAGGTTAAGAGAATTAACTCTAACACATTCAGTGAACCTGTTACAGAAAAGATAGTCCACAAATATTAGTTCCTTGTTCCCTTCATACTCCCCATTATCTACTAATAAATCTTTAATTCCCAGATATACTTAGCATTTCTGGACAACCACCTCAAGAATTCTAAAATTATTTAAGATTACCCTAACTCTAAACTCTCCTCAAAGGAGCTTCTGTGTTGCCTTGCCTGAGAACAAAGTATAGCCAACATCTTGGACACCTCTCTCTGCTGGGTCCCTGGAAGCTGAGCTGCTTGAGTGACTGTCAACCTTGGGCAAATGGCACCAGAGCCCTGTCTCACCTGGAGGATAGTCTCTGGAATGTCACCTTGGAGGTCTTCTGACAATAATAGAAACTCAAGCTTTCTCCGGAAAACAGCTGGGAGTAACTTCTAGAAGAATCATAAGAAGGAAGCATAGAAATTAGATATATATGTTTTAGTTAACAAATTATAATTAAATATTTCTGTACAGTTATCCACTTAGTCTTATTTCTGCTATTTCTCTAAGATAAAGTACTCTTTTTTTTTTTTTGAGACAGAGTGTTGCCCAGGCTGGAGAGCAGTGGCATGATTTTAGCTCATTGCAACCTCCACTTCCCAGGTTCAAGTGATTCTCGTGCTTCAGCCTCCTGAGTAGCTGGGATTACAGGTGTGCACCACCACGCTCAGCTAATTTTTGTATTTTTCGTAAAGACAGGGTATTACCATGTTGGCCAGGCTGGTCTGGAACTCCTGACCTCAAGTGATCCACTCACCTTGGCCTCCCAAAGTGCTAAGATTACAGATGTGAGCCACCATGCCTGGCCTCTCTAAGATAAAGTACTTTTAAACACGACATTCCTGGATACGTTTTCAGATACTCTTTATAAACAAAAATAGCTAAACTTGGACATACACCTCTCTTAAAAACTAATACTTAAAGCCTGCAGTGATAAGCCTTAAGTACCAAGATTTGTTCATTTCATTGACTTTGTCACTTGAGGTCTTTCTCCAAGAATCTCCCTTGCTGTGTTCAAAATACCCAGCTGTGGGTAAGCCTGGGAGGGTATGGCCCACATGATCCTCTTTTGGTCCAAACCCCTATTTTTGTCATTCACTATCTGTTGAGTTTCAGTGAAAGAAGAATAACAGTAAAAGGGGAGAAATCCAATGTTTATTAAACACTTATTATATGCTGGTACCTTGCAGGTACTGTGTGCCATATTTTATTATCATCACATTTAATTTCCAAATCAAACTTGTGGCACATAGTTATATATTTTTTTTTTACAAACAATCATTACTAGAGGCAAAATGGTGAGGAAGTATTTTTCCAATTTTTACAAGGTGATCCCATTGTTTGTTAATGAGATACGCCATTGGAGAGGTCTAATGCATAGAGAGAAAGACTCTGACTCCTCCTGTGCCTGCTTGTTTGGCAGTAACTTATCTTCACCTGGTCCCTAACACTCAAATTGGAGTCTCCCTTTCTCCAGACACAAATAAAAATAAGAAAAGCCTGAGACTAATTCTGACAAACACTACGTTACATATGAGACATCTGTCAATCCTGCTTCTGGTTAAAGCTTCCCAAAGATGAGTTTTATTGGAAGGCAAGGAACACCTGCAGTTCTATGTGTGTGGGTGCAGGTGCATGAGGAAAGTTTAGAGCACAGACCTATCTCCATCATGTACCGTTCATCACATCGGAGGCTAACATGACCTCATATGTTCTTGGTCTTATTTCTTCTAACCATGTGCTTCTCTAATATGTGCACCAAGGCCATGTGAATGCTTGTCTAATGCCTATGATTGGAAGTTGGTGGATAAAATTCATGCTGGGAAGCTGAGGAATAGTGCTTCCACTGAGGACTAACAGAAAAGAATAGATAAGATGTCTAGGACAGCAGGTCCTTAGTAGTCTGGCTAAGATTTTATCTAGAATCCTAAAGACTGAGTAGATATGCTTATTTTACTGCTGAAACTACTTTAAACATATTCAGGATCAGCCGGGCACGGTGGCTCACGTCTGTAATCCCAGCACTTTGGGAGGTGGGTGGATCACTCGAGGTCAGGAGTTCGAGACCAGCCTGACCAATATGGTGAAACCCCATCTTTAAAAAAAAATAAAAAATAAAAAAAAAGAGAAAAAAAAATTCAGGATCATGAATGACTAACATTTATCTTTCTAAAAAAGGCAAGAATTTGCTCAGCATTTCTAAGTACGGGTTTTCTCACTGTAAGAGCAAGGCATGTTCAATGCAGAAAAATTAAATATACAAATAAGTAAACTAAAATATGTTATATATATATAAAATAGATATATGTCCAGTTAGTCTTATTTCTGCTATTTCTCTAAGATAAAGTGCTTTATCTTAGAGAGATATATATAACATATACATATTTTAGAGTGCAATATATGTAACATACATTAGTTTGCTTATTTATATAATTTTACAAATTTAATTTGTAGTTATATATGAAATGATATATATCACATGAAATTGATTATAACATAAAATATGATACATAACACGTATTATATATGAAATATATAATATATATCACATATAGGAAATATATGATATATATGAAATATATATTTTATATATATTCTCACTGAAGAACAATTATTAAAATTGTAGTTTAAGGCCATTCGGACCATTTTCTATGCACATCTCTATGCATGTATACCAAATCTACTTTTTTCTAAACCGCCTTTTTTCCTATACAGCAGACTATGAGCACTCTGTTACTGAAAACTCATTTGCCAAATACTTTTGAATACTGGCATAGCATTTTACATATAGGTATACTTCCATTTAGTAACCTGCCCTATATTGTGGACATGGAATTTGTTTCCAGTTTTCCTCTAATAGAAGTGGCATAAGGCCGGGCGCGGTGGCTCAAGCCTGTAATCCCAGCACTGTGGGAGGCCGAGGCGGGTGGATCACGAGGTCAAAAGATCGAGACCATCCTGGTCAACATGGTGAAACCCCGTCTCTACTAAAAATACAAAAAATTAGCTGGGCATGGTGGCGTGTGCCTGTAATCCCAGCGACTAAGGAGGCTGGGGCAGGAGAATGGCCTGAACCCGGGAGGCGGAGGTTGCGGTGAGCCGAGATCGCGCCATTGCACTCCAGCCTGGGTAACAAGAGCAAAACTCCGTCTCAAAAAAAAAAAAAAAAAAAAAATGGGGGCATAGAAGTGAACCTTTCTGCAGTGAAATATTTGCATGCATGCTTAAACATGTAGAGATAAATCCCTGCAAGATTAAAAGGCAGAGGGCAAAAACGAATGGAGGAAAGGGAAAATAGAATGACTATTTCATCTAACAATTAAAATGGAAGTTTTTGGCAAAAGGTGGGAGCCTGGAAAAGGACAGGCAGCCAGTAAATTCCTGAACGATGAAGGTACCTTCAGGATAATGACTGGACTTGGAAAACTACCCCAAGAATTCATTGGATGCCATGGTCCTTATATAGTTTTAAAATTTTATGAGGAACTAAAATAGTCCGCAACTGTTTAAATAAGCAAGTCATTGAAGCTTTAAAAACCAAATGATCTATCTGTGAAGCTGGAAAAAACAAGAACAGGAAGTGGAATCCATCTCCTGACATAGTTGAGCAACTGCCTAGAAAACAAGCAACCAAGCAAACATAAAGTAAACAAGTAGTCTCTGCTGAGGGGAAAGTTAATTTGATTTGACAAATTCCATGTTTGTACTAGAGAGATCCTTAATAGTAACAATGGTTCTTTTTTTCTTTGAAGATACTATTGTAACTATAGTGTTACTATTTTAGCTCAATTTTTCTCTTTTAAATCTGAAACTATAGCCAACTCTTAATTATCCTGGGTTTCCTTATTTTTCATTTTTGCTTTTCTTTCTTCTCCCTTCTACTAGTCTTTCTGTCTCTCTTTCCTAGACAGCTGGATGAATCCTGGATAAGAGATATATTCAGATTAGCAATTTCTGTTACTTTTGGACAGCTACGTAAAGGATAAATATCATGCAAAAATGGAACTAAAGACAAAATTCATTCTGGTGACTGAGAGGAACAAAATTTTTAAAAATAGGCTAAATTATAGACATTTTAAAAGTAGAATTTTTTAGGCTGGCTGCAGTGGCTCAAGTCTGCAATCCTACCACTTTTGGGAGGCCAAGGCAGGCGGATCACCTGAGGTCGGGAGTTCGAGACCAGCCTGACCAACATGGAAAAACCCCATCTCAACTAAAAATACAAGATTAGCCAGGCTTGGTGGTGCATGCCTGTAATCCTAGCTACTCGGGATGCTGAGGCATAAAATCACTTGAACCAGGGAGGAAGAGGTGGCAGTGAGCCAAGCTTGTGCCATTGCACTCCAGCCTGGGCAACAACAGCAAAAATCTGACTCAAAAAAAAAAAAAAGTAGAATTTGTGGTTTCGTAGTTTTAAGTCCATCTGGGCTAAAAAAAAAAAAAATAATAATGTTAAAGTGGAAAAAGCAGAGGATTGTGGTCAAATCTGGTTTCAGCACCAGTTCTGTCAACAAACTTTATGGTGTGTCCTTGGGCTAGCATTTCTAAGTTAGAGGTTCTCAATCTCAAAGTCTGAGGTTCAATATGAAATTGTCTCTGATAAATTCTTTTATAGATATCAATTTCTGAGAATTAACACATACTTCTAAAAGGTGTTTTAATGGAAACTTATCTTTAAAAACAAGTAATTCCTTACCAGTTTTTTCACTAATAATTTGTTTACTTGTTTTTATATTTGATAATTTTCAGTTCAATTCATGTGCATTATTATACTAAAAATTAATGGAACTTAAATCTATGAGATTTCATGGAATTCAACTAGTTAAAATAAGATGTTTGGAAAAAAAAAACCAAAAAAAAAAAAAAAAACAAGTTTCAGCTCAGCCCATTCTCTATTACTTAAATGCTGAATAGATCCAAATGTTACAGGTTCATATTTTATTTGCTATTTTGTGTCTTTCACTGAGTTCCCAAAAGTTCTCTTTAGGCACAAGACTCATGGTGGTATTTAACAAATGTTATTATATGCCAGTGTATGTTAGCACATCAATGAATGAATTTAGGTAAGGAGACAGCAATAAAAATTTAAGCCATTCTGAGAATAAGTATGATGAATTTAACGATAAGAGAACGTAACCGACAGAAGAGAAATCCCACAACTACTTTGAAGTCCTGGCCTCAGGGGAAAATTCAATATAAACCTACTTACCTTTTCCTGGGCCAACCATTTCTCCAGTACAAGAAGCCAGACCCAGGCTAATCTTTGAGGGTTGATGTCCCGCCCACATCTGAAAAAGGTAAAAAGAAAGACTTGTAAAAAAGAGTTTCTACTGATCTTTCATCTTTTGTTATCCCAGACAGATTTCATAGTTCATTCTGCTTTAGACCTGAACAGGCAAGACACTGTCCTAATGAGATATTTTTAAATGTATATCACAGTTCAATAAAACACTGGAACCAGGCCAGGTGTGGTGGCTCACACCAGTAATCCCAGCACTTTGGGAGGCCAAGGTGGGCATGTCACCTGTGGTCCAGAGTTCGAGACCTACCTGGCCAACATGATAAAACCCCATCTCTACGAAAAAGATAAAAATTAGCCAGGTGTGGTGACAGGTGCCTGTAGTCCCAGCTACTCAGGAGGCTGAACCCAGGACGCAGAGGTTGCAGTGAGCCTAGATCACGCCACTGTACTCCAGCCTGGGCAACAGAGCAAGACTCTGTCTTCAAAACAAAAAAAACGTTAGAACCAGAACAGAGCTAGCAGCTTTCATAAAAAGCCTCAATCTCACCCTACCTCCCTGTCTTAGTTTAAAACAAAATAATATTATAGAGAAAACCATAATAGCTAATACTATCTAAAGCATATTCTTGAATACAGAAACTGAATCGGATGCTCTTAAAAAAGGAACTTCATATAGATTTAACTATATGCTAAAAACAGGACTTTAGGAATTCATAAGCCTTTCTTTGAAGTTAGGAATTTAGATGATAACTGGCTAGCTCTCAAATTAAAGGAGAAAAAAGGAAGAGATCACTTACTTTTCTCCATTGTATATGCGCTAATAAAATATGTAAAGAGTACAGCATAACAGTCAAAGGAAGGAAAAGCCAAGGAAAGAGTTAAAGCAGTACATTTGACTCCTATATCACTAGGGATTACTAGCATCATCAGGAGGAACTTCACTGAAAATCTAGGATACAGAACTGTGGTTGCCAGGGAACAAGGAGGGGTTGTTGTATAAATACAAAGAGGTAGCTAGCCCCAAGGAGTGAGGGGGTTCTTCTGTGGTGATGGAACAGTTCTGATCCTTATTACAGTGGTATTACATTAATCTACATATGGATAAAACAACAAATGAAAAAATGAAGGCGGATTAAGAAAATGCTGAAAACCAAACAGTCTGTGGTGTCATTAAGAGTAATGTACCAATGTCAATGTCTTGGTTTTGATATTGTACTACAGCTGTATGAGACGTCACCATTGGGGGAAACTGGGAAAAGAATACACTGGACTTTATATTTTTGCAACTTCTTGTGAGACTATAATTATTTCAAAATAAAAAGTTTTAAGTAAAGCTACAACAATATCTTCAATCTCATAACCAAGAAGAGAGCAGGGTTTGCTTTTTTGGAGGTAAAGAAAATAGTTTTCAATGCAATTCCACCAACTATATTAACGAGGATAAATAAGAAACGGCAGTTTCAGGCACACGTTGGTGGCCAGGCAGTTGCAGGTGATAATCTAAAGCCAGTATTGACTAAGTAATGGGTGTATACTATAGAGGTAAAATTTCACAGCATGTGTAATACACTCTGCCTCTGCTTATTCTTCAGAGGGTAGTTGAGTGGTGGCACAGCGACCAGTGCCCAAATATTGAACCACGTGTCTCTCACCCTGTGACTGGTAGGAAATGAGATCCCTTACCTCAGCAAATTTGGACACACCACCAATGCCTGAAGTATGTCTTCCACCCTCTTTGGGATGTCCCCTTGTCCATCGTGTAGCTGAGGTACACATGCCTGTGCCAGCTCCCATTCTCCCCTCCGTAGGCATTCACAGAAAAATCCAAAAAGCTGCTTCTGGGAAGCAGCTTCCTCTTTTCCAAATGGATGATTCATTTTCCCAGCACAGAGTGCAGGGAGATACAAGGAGATGAGTTACGCCGAACACATTCTCAATGTTCTCATTCGCAGAATACCTCCTAGAAACAACGCACACACCAGTGAGAAGAAACAGAAGGCACTGTATTAAGACAGAGCAGCAACTACTGGTCCGTCTGGGAAAGGCGGGACTTACTTGCCTAATAGCGTTTTAAGTTTAATTTGCCACGTTACTTTTTGAAAACACTTTCTTCAAGGGGCGGATCCCATCTCTTTACGCGATTCCTCTATTTCACAATATTAAAAGTCATATTCACCCCGGACGCAGACCCATAACTCTACGTCCTTATCCCCTGCTGAACTTTACGCCCAGTCTTGACTCCAAATCCCCAGGTGGTCGCCTCCTCAAAGATGAGAAATTCAGCAGGAACCTCTCTATTTTGAGCCCTCTGTTAAGGCAGAGATTGGAGATGAGGAGACGAATCTGTGTCATAAGTCGAAAGCAGTGCAGGGGTGGGACGCAAGGACGCTTCTGGTAGGGGTCGTGGAGAGGGGCCCCTCCCTCTCAGGGGTGTCTCACACTCACCTGCTCCCGGCGCCCAAAGCCATAGAGCTCTCAGGGCAGCCATGTTTGAGCCGAGTCAGGTGACAGATCCCACTCCGAAAGGCGGTGGTGAGAACGGCTGAAAGCCCCACTCCTATTGGCTCAAGGCCGGGAAGATGGAAATTAAGTGCCATATTGGTTTGAGTCACGTGACGCACCCCTGCTGGAGGAGGGAAAGCTAGAAAGCTCGGAAAGAGGAAATCAGCTACCTGGCTGCGGACCATCTGTCTCAATTGTGGCAGCTCCTGCACTCAATACTTTCAGTTCTCCATTCCGCCAAGCAGGTGGAGAGAAGAGCTGTGCCCCTGGATTTTTTTTTTCTTCCACTCTCTTTTCTCCTTAATATTTGAGGTCAACGTTTAGTGAACGCCAACCAGTGATGGTGTTTTGCCAGGAGCGGGGGATACCCAGAGCTAGGAGAACTGGGTTCTCCTCCATTATTATTCTTTCTACTGGGCTTTTTCGTTCCGGGACTCTTAGGTCTGAATTTCCATATTCTTCTGCTTCACTGCATTCATTTATTTGTACATGTACCTGACAACTGTTAATTGAACGGTGTGCGAGGCTTAATTTTATTTTTTTAGAGACAGGGTCTCTGTCGCTGGAGTGCTGTGGAGTGCAACCTCGGCTCCTGCAACCTCGAATTTCCTAGATCAAGTAATCCTCAGCCTCGGCCTTCGTGTAAGACGTGCGCCACCACACTGGGCTTAAGAGGTATTCTCTAAGTTGAGTAAGTAGAGGTTCCTCTCCTTAAGGGAGGTGCAGGCCAAAAATTAGGATACGGTGGGCTAAATTATAAGATGGAAGTATGCATAAGAGATCAGAGAGCAAAGAATGAGCAAAAGTTTTTCGCAAACATAATAACCTGAAACCAAGTCTTTTCTTTTTTTTTTTTTTTTTTTTTTGAGACGCAGGCTCGCTCTGCCGCCGAGGCTGGAGTGCAATGGCGCGATCTCGGCTCATTACAACCTCTGCCTCCTAGGTTCAGGCCATTTTCTGCCTCAGCCTCCTGAGAGCTGGGACTACAGGCGTGCGCCACCATGCCCGGCGAATTTTTGTATTTTTAGTAGAGACGGGAATTTCACTGTGTTGGTCAGGCTGGTCTCGAACTGCTGACCTCGTGGTCCACCTGCCTCGGCCTCCTGCTGGGATTACAGGTGTGAGCAACCGTGCCCAGCCTGAAACCAAGTCTTAAAATATCAGTTTATTAGGTTTCCTCACCGCAGCTGCTTTACACCAAGACTTCTGTTTGGTTTCTCTGCGTTTTTAAATCACAGACTCTCAGGTTTCCTCAATATGTGTTTCAGGTTTAGTAATTTCATTCAGCATTTCCCAAACTATTTCACCACCAAAGGGTTGTGAAAAGAGCAAATTAAAACAGGACGTTCTAGTCCAAAAACTCTTCTGCGATTGGTGGATTGTCCTCGATTCTTAAGAAAACTAACATGCCTCTCTAGCTCATTATTTTTTATTTTTTTATTTTTATTTTTTTGAGGCAAGGTCTGACTCCTCACCTCAGCCTCTCAAGTACCTGGTATCATAGGTGCCCGCCACCACGCCAGGTTAATTTTTGTGTTTTCAGTAGAGACGAGGTTTCTGCCACATTGGCCAGGCTGGTTTCAAACTCCTGAGCTCAAGTGATCCGCCCGCCTCGGCATCCCAAAGTTAAACCGCCTTTGCAAAATTGTAACTGAGGAAATTATGACACTGAAAGAAATCAAACCTAACCGATTCTATCTTGCTTCTAACCTTTAAGCTGTCCTTGTTCAATCCTGGGCGTGGGCTGAACTAATTTGGGGAAGGAATTCAGTTCATGGTTTGATTGTGAAACAAAATTGCTAACAGCTGTTTCCGAAAAGACCCCTTTCTTGCCTGGGCACCAGTCTGCCTTTGCAGGACTACCAGATTATAAGATTAGAAATTACAGTTTAGGGGTCATGCAGTCTTTGGCTTCAAGGGTCTGAATCTCCCCAAATTGCTCCTGTGGGTAATATCACTATTGTAAGCACTAAGATCAGTGCTTGAGATATTTTGTAGACCCTGCACTCAGTTAATCAGCTGACACCACCCAGACCAGTAATCTGGCCCAACCAGTTCTTCCATCACACCCAGGAACAGAAGACATTAAGAAAACATCACTTCGACCCCTTAATGATTCCATCTCCAGCCTGACCAATCAGCACTCCTTACCTCACCAGCCAAATTATCGGTAAAAACTCTGACCCCCAAATGCTCATGACAACTGATTTGAGTAATAATAAAACTCTGGTCTTCTGCACAGCTGGCTCTGCGTGAATTACTCTTTCTCCATTGCAATTCCGCTGTCCTGATAAATTGGTGTTTTGTCTAGGCAGCTGGCAAGGTGAACCCATTGGGCGTTTACAAAGGCGCTGGGATTTCAGGCGTGAGCCACAGCGCCTGGCCCCATTAAGCCATTTTTAAAAGTGGTGATACAAAAAACTATTTCCAAACAGGGTGTTCCCTTGCTTCATAGTCTCTTTGGTGATGGTCCTCCAACAGATTTTGATAATCATTATACTGTATTTTTTTTTTTTTTTTTTTTTTTTTGAGACGGAGTTTCGCTCTTGTTACCCAGGCTGGAGTGCAATGGCGCGATCTCGGCTCACCGCAACCTCCGCCTCCTGAGTTCAGGCAATTCCCCTGCCTCAGGCTCCTGAGTAGCTGGGACTACAGACACGCGCCACCATGCCCAGCTAATTTTTTTGTAGTTTTAGTAGAGACGGGGTTTCACCGTGTTGACCAGGATGGTCTCGATCTCTTGACCTCGTGATCCACCCGCCTCGGCCTCCCAAAGTGCTGGGATTACAGGCTTGAGCCACCGCGCCCGGCCCTCATTATACTGTATTGAGAAACTGCTTCAGATTTGACCTCTTAGGCTGATAACAGTGTTAACTACAATTCCCAGCAAGCCGCGGGGCCCACCTGAGCCTCTGCCGGCCTCTTATTGGATACAATGGCCAGGATGACGACCCAATCAGTGCTTCGGTTGTTACTTTGCGGCGCTTTCCGCGGGGAAACTGTGTAATGAGTGGGGAAACTTAAAAGTTGGAGGCTGCAGACCCGGTATTGGAAAGTTTCATGTGGGGTGCCATTGTGGGGAAGTGGGGTTCGCTCATTATTTCCTGCTCCCACCCTAGGCCCGTGGGTGTCGATATTAGCGGTATTCGCCTTTGGGTGCTGGGCATGTTCCCTTAAGACCGTCGGGATCTTCACTAAGAACCCCGCCGCGAATCGGGGGAGCTTCGGGCAGTCTTTTGGTGGGGAATGCTTGGAAGGTGCTCATTTTTGGGAAAACCTCTTTTTAGGGGATTCTGGGTTATTTTTCCGCCTGTTGATGCCCACCTTCGTCCGTAGCCCCCTTCCCGCTTCGGGTAGTTTGGGGTCTAAGCAAGGGAGCCTGTCATTAGGGGAAGATGAGGGACTGTCGCACTTCGGGTGGTGTTGGAGAGCGTGGAATCTGGAGTCTGATCCCAGGATTCGAATGCGAGCTTCACACCAATTACTTAGCTGTTTGACTTTGCCCAAGTTTCTCAACTTGGTGCCTCAGTATCCTCCTCTGTAAAGTGAGGTAAAACACCTGAAGCCTTTGGAACAGTGTGGCATGTAATAAGGGCTCAATAAATATTAGCTATTATTGTTCCTAAACAGTTATAGTTGAACATCTAACATGAAGCATTTTCTTTTCTTGCTGGTGAGGAGAAGAGGGTTCATTTTTCAGGGTTGACTGTCTCCCCTAATGTGCAATACACATAGATGCGTTCTTGCACACATACACAGCAGGAATTTACGTGCTCCGGTGGAGAAAACAAACTTGCAAGCCATAATAATACTTTGATAAGATTATCGAACAGATATGTACAAAGTTGATGAGAACACTGGAGAGGAAAGTACTCTGGGGAAGACTTTGTGGAGGGAAGTCAGGGAGACAGGATGACAGTTGCGTAACCTGCCAATACACATACCATGTGGCTGGAGGGCAGGTTGTGAGAGTCAGTAAATGATTGTTGCTGAATGGGAATTGATAATTATGATTGCAAACCTTAAGTGCCAGGCACTACCCGACCCCTTTAACCTCCACTACAGTCATATGAAGTAGTAAATTCATGACTGTAATTTACTACTTTGTATGACTGTAAAACAAGGGTATTAAGGAAATTAAGACACTGACAGGTGAGGTACTGACAGGAAGCCCAGGATCTGAACCTTGCAATGTGATGTATGAGTGAGAAGGAAGCGAGGGACCAATTTTTGATGTTTTTTTTTATGTGACTCTAAGAAGTTAGGAATTTATCCTGTGGTCTATTCCCATGGGAAGTGTTAAAGGATAAGCATGACTTTTTAAGAAGTTACTTAGGGCAGGATTGTGACACTGATCTGACTTTTGCAGGCGAATTTGAGGCTTCTTCCTGTCTGCTCCTATAGCACTTTTAAGTTGCAATACTTACTGCATGGCTGTAGTTATGTGTGTGTATATCCCTTTTCATCTCTTAACTAAGAGTGTTCAAGGGGGAGGGGAAATGCATAAGTGATTCTTGTACCTCGGAGCTCAGCAGGGTGTGTACTTAAATGTCTGTGGAAGGAGCAAATTAAGGAACAAATGAATGGAGTGGCCAGAAACAATATGCAATTGTCCAGGCAAGTGATGGAAGTGGCCCTAATAAGGCAGAGATAGCAGAATTGGTTGTTTTAAAAGTCCCTGTAGGTTTAGAATTTATAGTTTTGTTTTTTTGTTTTTGACAGGGTCTCTGTCTGTTCCTTTGGCTAGAGTCCAGTGGCATGATCATAGCTCACTGCAGCCTTGACCTCCTGGGCTCAGGCGATCTTCTCATCTGAGCCTTCTGAGTAGCTAGGACTACCACAGGTGTGCGCCACAATGCCCACTAATTTTTGTTTGTTTGTTTGTAGAGACAGGTTCTCTCTATGTTGCCGAGGCTGGTCTTGAACTCCTGGACTAAAGCAGTTTGCCTGCCTTGGCCTGCCAAAGTGCTAAGATTACAGGCATGTGCCATCTCTTGCAGCCTATAGTTCTTTTTTTTTTTTTTTTTTAATTGAATTGAATTTTTCAGTCTAAATGGTGTCATTATCTGAAACTACCTGATCTGAAAAGACACTAGGCAGTGTTATAGCAGATATCACTTGGTTTTATATTGGGGGAAACAAATCTCTAACAAACTCCCATAGAGAGATATGAAGAGGATGTATTTTGTGTTTTTGAGAGGTGTGTATGTATGTATTGTGTGTGTGTAAGAGAGAGAGATTGATTCAATCTGATTTAGAGAATTTAGGTGTTAGATAGAAATGTGGGCCATAGTATTGGAAATAAAAAAATATGTATATCCTCAGTATACATATATTTTCATTTTAAAATGTTAATTCTTTTCTGATAGCTATATTGCTTTATTCCTTGGATCCTTGAATTCTTGTTTCAGTTCTTTCCAGAAGATATTTCTTTACCATCTTAATGAGATGTATGACTTCTTCTTTGTATGCAATAAGAGACTTACAGTAATTATTATTATTATTATTATTTTTGAGACAGAGTCTTGCTTTGTCGCCCAGGCTAGAGGGCAGTGATACCATCTCGGCTCACTGCAACCTCCGCTTCCCAGGTTCAAGTGATCCTCTTGCCTGAGGCTCCCGAGTAGCTGGGACTACAGACACGTGCTACCACACCTGGCTAATTTTTTTTTTTTTTTTTTTTGAGATGGAGTTTCGCTCTTGTTACCCAGGCTGGAGTGCAATGGCACGGTCTTGGCTCACCGCAACCTCCGCCTCCTGGGTTCAGGCAATTCTCCTGCCTCAGCCTCCTGAGTAGCTGGGATTACAGGCATGCGCCACCATGCCCAGCTAATTTTTTATATTTTTAGTAGAGACGGGGTTTCACCATGTTGACCAGGATGGTCTCGATCTCTTGACCTGGTGATCCACCCGCCTCGGCCTCCCAAAATGCTGGGATTACAGGTGTGAGCCACCGCGCCTGGCAATTTTTTATATTTTTAGTAGAGACAGGGTTTCACTGTGTTAGCCAGGATGGTCGTGATCTCCTGATCTCGTGATCTGCCTGCCTCTTCCCAAAGTGCCGGGATTACAGGTGTGAGCCATCATGCCCGGCCACAGTAATTCTTCTGTAGCTCTCTAAAGATAAATATTTCATGAGCCTCATTTATTTCTAGCAAGGTACAAGAGTGAAATTTAACTGCATGTGAGAATATAAGCAGCTTATGCCTGTAATCCCAGCACTTTAGGAGGTCAAGGTGGGAGAATCACTTGAGCCCAGGAGTTTGAGACTGGCTTGGGCAACATGGCAAAACCCTATCTCTACAAAAAATACAAAAATTGGGTAAGCTTGGTCATGACCGTGTCTCTACAGAAAATATAAAAATTAGCCAGGCATGGTGGTGCATGCTGTGGTCCCAACTTGGGAAGGTGAGGTAGGAGGATTGCTTGAGCCCAGGAGGTGGAGGTTGAGGTGAGCTGAGATCACACCACTGCACTCTTAGCTGGGGTGACAGAGCCAGACCCTTTCTCAAAAAAAAAAAAATAAATAAATAAAAAGTATATATATGAACATTTTAATACTGCAATGATGAAATTTCATTTGATTCAGAAGGTGTGTTCTGACTCCTAGAAAAGGAAAAAGTTAAATATGATTATGGACTCGCAGTAGAGTGTAATGATTAAGAAGATAGGTTTCAGAGTCAGACTGCCTGGGTTCAAATTCTGGATCAGTCATTTATGTTTTCTGGTGACAATGGACTAGCTAACTTTTCCAGGCTTTAGTTTTCTCTTATGTAAAAAAAGGGACCAATAATCTACTTTCCTTCTAGGGTTGTTGAGAAGATTAAATGTAATAATTTAGATAAGTTATGGAACAGTGCCTGGTATGTGGTAGGTGCTCAATAAATGCAGCTATTACTGTTACAATGAAGTGTAAATTGTTACAGTGCAATAGACTTTCTAGTGGTTCTGTTTGTAAATATGCCTTGAAAGTTAATTACATATCCAAATAAAATTTATACATACGTTGAACATTTTGAGATGCTCTACAAATGTGAAGTGGTACTATATTCATGTAGTAAGTATCAAATAATTGTGTGAAATTATATTTGAGAGCCAGGCGCGGTGGCTCAAGCCTGTAATCCCAGCACTTTGGGAGGCCGAGGCGGGTGGATCACGAGGTCAAGAGATCGAGACCATCCTGGTCAACATGGTGAAACCCCGTCTCTACTAAAAATTACAAAAATTAGCTGGGCATGGTGGCGTGTGCCTGTAATCCCAGTTACTCAGGAGGCTGAGGCAGGAGAATTGCCTGAACCCAGGAGGCGGAGGTTGCAGTGAGCCGAGATCGCGCCATTGCACTCCAGCCTGGGTAACAAGAGCGAAACCCCGTCTCCAGTAGTAAGTATCAAAAAATAAAAAGAAATTATATTTGAGGTTGTCTTGTTTCTCTGTGTGCCTGTTTGACAAACAATTGTCTTTCCTAGTTAAAGCATTTAAAAAGATTCTATAGCATTCCTTTATCAGTAATATTTTTAATACAGTATGTTTCATTTTGCATATGGAAAAACTTGAGGAATTTTTTATTTTGTTTTGGATAGCCTATTCACTATCACTTATGTTATATTCTGATGTTTTTTCATGGTTCTTCTTTTCTTTGCTGGATCTGGAGGCATGGGCAGCAAGAAACTAAAACGAGTGGGTTTATCACAAGAGCTGTGTGACCGTCTGAGTAGACATCAGATTCTTACCTGTCAGGTAAATTCTATTTAAAATTTCCATTGAGAAGTTTTATGCACAACTTAACTTTATACCTTAATACCTCTTAAACTTGAAATATGAGAATGTAGGCTTACGAAAACAACACAAATGATGGTGCTTTTCCATAGGCTAATTGTAAATATCAAGCCTCCTTAGGTACATTTCCAATTGTGACTTCATTTACCCAAGTTTAGTATTTTTGCATTTTGAGGGGAGAGTGGTCATGGCATAAGGTGAAGTACACCTTTGCTGTTTATTTGTAGTTACATGAGAAATAGAACTCAAATGAGGAGATACTATTTAAAATGTATCCTTTCTTTTATAAAAGCAAGAGAAATTAATAGTTAGACCATTTTCTTATTGATGAAGCATGAGAAATGTATACAGAAGATCTTGCAAGGTAGTGAAGCAAATCCTCCTTAGCAGAGTAAATAAGATTTAAGAGTTTTGGTTGTTTGTATTTTTTTGAGACTAGGTTCTCATGTTGCCCAGGCTGATCTCAAACTCCTGGACTTGAGCAGTCCTCCGGCCTCACCTCCCAAGTAGCCAGGATTATAGGCATATGCCACTGTGCCTGGCTAGATTTAAGGTTTTATCTTAGGATCTTATCCTTTTGTTTGTTTGTTTGTTTGGTTTTTGAGTGAGTGTCTTGCTCTGTTATCCAGGCTGGAGTGCAGTGGTGCCATCTTGGCTCACTGCAACCTCTGGCTCCTAGATTCAAGTGATTCTTCTGCTTCAGCCTCCTGAGTAGCTGGGATTACAGGCGTGTGCCACCACATCCAGCTAATTTTCATATTTTTAGTAGAAATAGGGTTTCACCATGTTGGCCAGGCTGGTCTCAAATTCCTGATCTCAAGTGATCTGCCTGCCTCAGTCTCCCAAAGTGCTAGGATTACGGACATGAACCACTGTGCCCAGCTTGATTTTATCCTTAACAAGACATTTTCACAGAGCATTCTGCAACTTTTTTTTTGAATTGCTTTCTATGTTAAAGATATCTTTGGTTCCTTTGTTACACATTTAATTATTTGCATGTTTATATTCGGAAATATTCTTAAAAGTATGAAATTTGATATTTCATCCTATAGTCAGTTTCATTCTTTTTTCACTTACGAAACATTATCTCTGAGTGAACTTCTAACTTAGAAAGAAACTCTTTCAACTTGATACTTTCTGGGCTTATATTTGTACCCAAATTCTTTTTGGCATAATGTAGTGCTCATATACACCTGGATTGGATACTGCTACTATGTAATGTTATTTGGCGTATCCTCTGGTACATGCCAACGAAACAGGATAATTAGAAGATAAGTCTGTGTCATTATAACTTTTAGTTAAGGCATATTTTTGGGGAAAATACTATAATGAATGCATAAATCTTTGATCTGCAATAAATTACACTTTTGTCTACACGAGCAGTATCAATTGAAGGTTTCCTTTTAACTCTAATATCTTTGTTACACATATATGTTTATAATATTCTCTTTATGTTTCTTTAGGACTTCTTATGTCTTTCCCCACTGGAGCTTATGAAGGTGACTGGTCTGAGTTATCGAGGTGTCTATGAACTTCTATGTATGGTCAGCAGGGCCTGTGCCCCAAAGATGCAAACGGTATATATATATTTTATTATAATTTGATTATGAATGATTTTTCATCTCATTAAACTTTTTTTTTAGGATGAGGCACATGCAGAAATAGAGATGAGTACCTAAAAAATATTGAGTTTCCTACCTTAGAAGTTAGTTCTCTAAGGAAAATACATGTGAAAATTTTTTTCTTTTTGAGATGGGGTCACACTCTGTTGCCCAGGCTGGAGTGCAGTTGCATGATCTTGGCCCATTGCAGCCTTTGCCTCCTGGGTTCAAGCGATTCTCCTGCCTCAGGCTCCCAAGTAGCTGAGATTACAGGCATGGTGCTACCACACCCAGCAAATTTTTTTATTATTAGTAAAGATGAGGTTTCTACTTTGTTGGCTAGGTTGGTCTCAAACTTCTGACCTCAAGTAATCTGCTTGCCTTGGCCTCCCAAAGTGTTGGCATTACAGGCGTGAACCACCACACCTAGCCTATCTGTAAAAAATTTATGTAATTTATAAGCTCGTGGAAGACAATTCCTAAATTTTGGAATTAGGGAGCAACAGAAAGTTTTTATTTTTGCAGCCAATAGCAGTAGTTCAAAAGGACACTTTTCTCTAATTGATTAGGTAGTATTTGAGGGCCTCATAGTTAAATTGTAATATATTCTTAATTTTAGAATGCCCCTTTCTTTGATATAGGGACCTTTACCGTCATCACTTGCTGTAGATTATAAAGCACACATAATTGTACTTGCTAGTTGATTGAATAAAAGATAAGTAAATATTTATTCTTTATTCTTAAGAAATTTGAAGTCTTTTACAAAAGCCCTCATCAAATCGTACGTGTTTTCAGACTTTCTGTGTCATGACTGTAGCTTTTCAAAACGTAGACTTGGAGCATGATAGAAAATACCTTGTTTTCCCACAGTAAGATTTTCCTAACATTATGTTCAGTGCTTTGTAAATGTATTTATTTATGTGGACTGTAAGTTACTTACCTTACTACCTTATATTGAAATTTACTGAACACCAAACAATGAAGTACAATTCTCTGAAGAAGGGGAGAAGGAAGGAATGTTAGTGTCATTTGAAACTTCTGAAAACAATAAACAGATGTTTGAACAACAAATAGTTTCTATTTTTTTTTTTTTTTTTTTTTTTGAGATGAGGTCTGGCTCTGTTGCTCTGGCTGGAGTGTAATGGTGTGATCTTGGCTCACTGTAACCTCCACCTCCTGGGCTCAAGCCATCCTCCCACCTCAGCCTCCCAAGTAGCTGGGACTACAGGTGGACACCACCGTGCCCAACTAAGTGTTGGGTTTTTTTTGTGGAGATGGGGTTTCACCATGTATCCCAGACTGTTCTTGAACTGATGAGCTCAAGTGATCCTCCTGCCTTGGCTTCCCAACTGCCGGGATTACAGGCATGAGCCACTGTGCCAAGCTGATCAACAGATACTTTCTTTTATTCAGATTTAACTTGTGATCTGAGGAAACTATCTGAAAGACAGGGTAGTCAGAAGGAGAATCAGAATTGGAGATAGAAATTGGCACTAGTCTTAGCTTTATCATTGATTTCATTGCTTTGAATAGTTTTCTTTGTTTTATGGGAGAAAACAGAAGTTAAAATACTATGCAATGATTCTGTGACTAGATTCAAATTAATTTGTAATTACTTTGAAGTTTGTAAAACACCAGAAAAACCTTTAATTTGTCATCTGTCATTGTAATTGGTCAATATGCATGGCATATTTCCAGTTAAGTAATTAAATAAGAGATCATGGTCCCAAAATTCAACTTTAATTTCTACTTCCATCACTACCTTCAGCTGCCGTCTTAATACAATTTCGAATACAATTCAAGAAGCCATCTTTCTCATATGGTTTACATTCATTCTTGTAGCATTCCTTATATTTCAGCCCTGCCTTAAACATTGGCTTCGGTTTTTTTTTATTCTTAAACATTTATTGTAAGTTCCAGGGTATATGTGCAGGATGTGCGGGTTTGTTACATAGGTAAATGTGTGCCATGGTGGTTTGCTGTACAGATCATCCTAGGTATTAAGCCCAGTATCCGTTAGCTATTCTTCCTGATGCTCTCCCTACCCCCTGCAACCTTTGACAGGCCCCAGTGTGTGTTGTTCCCTTCCATGTGTCCATGCGTTTTCATTGTTCAGCTCCTACTTATAAGTGAGAACACACAGTATTTTGTTTTCTGCTCCTGCATTAGTATGCTGAGGATAATGGCTTCCAGCTCTATCTGTGTCCCTGCAAAGGACATAATCCCATTCCTTTTTATGGCCTCATAGTATTCCATTTGTATATGTATCACATTTTATTTATTCAGTCTATCATTGATGGGCATTTGGGTTGATTTCATGTCTTTGCTATTGTGAATAATGCTGCAATGAATATATGTGTGCGTGTATCTTTATAATAGAATGATTTATATTCCTCTGGGTATATATAAATATATGTATATCTCCCAGAAGATTAATAAAATAATTTAAAAAACAACTTTCCTTATAGAGTATTAAATTTTGTAGTTCTAAATACATCAGAATGATCTTTGGCAGGAATAGTCACATTTCCTTTGCTTACCTAACAGTTGTTTCAGATTTTAGCACAGGCATCCAGAAATTCCATTAAGTTTCCAAAATCCATATCAGTTATACTTTCCCTATTACAATATCTCTTATTAATGCTGGTGTAATTGCCTGGTTTCTAGTCCTATTTCATAGTCCCCACAGACTTCATAAGACTGTGAGGGCAAGGTCTCTCTCTGTTATGTCATATCCCCATAATCTGGCACAGTCCTTGGCACAGAGTAAATATTTGTTGAACAAACAATAGAAGGGAAAAGGACGGATTAGGGTTAAAGTTGCTAAAATTTAGAGAATAGACTTAGTTTATGTTTTTGAATGTGTATAGAAGTTGAATAAAACTTAATTATTTTCTTGTTCAGGCTTATGGGATAAAAGCACAAAGGTCTGCTGATTTCTCACCAGCATTCTTATCTACTACCCTTTCTGCTTTGGATGAAGCCTTGCATGGTGGTGTGGCTTGTGGATCCCTCACAGAGGTAAAGCAAAAATTTTTCTTACCCTCTTCCATTGACCTATGATCTTCAGAGCCAGGGAAAAAGTTTAGCTAAAAAACATAAATTATTTCTTGAACAGTAATCTGAATTAAATTATAAGCACTTCAGGGATATGGTTCTTCACTCAGTACTTAGTGTGGTTGCTCTGCAAACAGAGATGTTAAAAAAAAAATCCTTGCTGACTGATTAAAATCTACTTGGGTTGCTGTTTCTTTGAATTAACTTAGAAAGTGATAAATATTGCTGGGCGTGTTTATATATATGTTTATATATAATTCATATATATGTTGTATATACATATATACATACATATATTTATGTTATATGTACACATGCACATGCTACATATATGTAATACACATACATGTCATACATGTAATATGCACAATAAATGACATTATATATTATATGATTATATCATGCCTATAATCCCAGCACTTTGAGCAACAAGGCAAGACCCTGTGTTTACCAAAAAAAAAAAAAAAAAAAAAAACCAAAAAACAAAACCCATTTAGTCACATGTGGTGGTACATGCTTATGGTCCTAGCTATTCAGGAGGCTGAACTTGAGCCAAGGAGGTCGAGGCTGGAGTGAGCCATGGTCACACCACTGCACCCCAGCTTGGGTGACAGAGGAAGACCCTGTCTCAAAAAAAAGAAAGCAGTAAATATTATGAAATAATATTATGAAACAATTGGGGGAATTAAAAAAGGATCACTCCTTATAAATTAGGAAGGACAATTTGAAATTTTAGTAACATGTAGAAAAATTACAGTATTAAACTAAAGTGAGCTAGTTTTACTTTCTGTTATAGATTAAATTTCTTCTAGGAAGTGATAGGTTATTAGATTGGTTAATACTGTTGCATAACAAATTATGCCAAAACTAAGTGGCTTAAAACAATAAACATTATGCCAAGGACTAACTCTGTGCCAAGGACTGTGCTTGATTATTTCTTAGTGTCTTTGGGAGTGGCTTAGCTCAAGCAGTGTTGGTGAGGGATGCAGTCATCTGAAGCTTGGTTGGGGCTGTAGGATCTATTTCTGAGGGGGCCCACTTATGTGACTGGCAAATGGATACTGGTGGTTGGCAGGAGGGCTCAGTGCCTCCCCAGGTAGGCTCTGCACAGGCTGCTTGAGTGTTATGACATGATGGCTTACTTCCCCCCAGGGGAGTGGTCTCAAAGAAGGCAAGATGGAAGTGGTGATATGTTTGGCAACCTAGCTTTGGAAGTTACACACCACTACTTCTGCCACTTTATGTCATTAGAAGTGAGTCATCAAGTCAAGCCTACATAGGGAAAGGGAAATTAGCCTCTACTTTTTTTTTTTTTTTTTTTTTTGAGAGAGAGTCTTCCTCTGTTGCCCAGATTGGAGTGCAGTGGCACAACCCTGGCTCACTGCAACCTCTGCCTCCTGGGTTCAAGTGAGTAGTTGGGATTGCAGGCGTGCATCACCACACCTGGCTAATTTTTGTATTTTTACTAGAGATGGGGTTTCACCCTGTTGTCCAGGCTGGGCTTAAACTCCTGACCTCAGGTAATCCACCCATTTGGGCCTCCCAAAGTGCTGGGATTACAGGCATGAGCGACTATGCCTGGCCAACCTTTTGAAGAAGTGTCAAGAATTTGAGGACATTTAAAAACCACTGCAGTTATTTTCCTTGAAAACTGCTTACAATGTGGTGACTTGATAGACTGTGTTTATCAGTACACTCTTGAGGACTTCTTGCTTGAAAGTTCTAGGGGCATAAATACTTTCAGGAAACTTCGAAATAAGAACAGATTCTTTTCTTACATTCTGATAGTCATAATTTAACTGTAGATTTTTTTTTCTTGGAGATAGGGATCCTGTTTTAGATACTATACCTTATAGTATACTATACCTTATAGTATCTAAACCAGGGTATTTTAAAATAAGGTATTTTATCTAAAAATAAAATACCTTATTTTATTTCCTGTCTTACAAGACAGATTTAAAGATTTATATGAGCTATGCCTAGTAGATCCTATTAAATAGTTGGTAAATAAATGAGTGAATTTGTTATTAATAAAAATGCACACACACGCATGCACACACAGACACACACACACACACACACAAAACCTCTGCTTTTGGAATATACTGCCACCAGGTGGTGCCAGAATCATACTAGTTTACACAAACTTTGGGCTGAAGTTCCACTTGATTAAATAAAGTTTATTACAATAGTGATCTGCAGTTATAAACTTACTTATTTAAATGGCAAAAACATTGAACTTAGGGAAGATTAACTGGGAAATTCTTTTTAAGAATTTTTTTTTAAGTTTTAGAATACTTTCAATACTTTTCATTTAGCTTTTATTAATTATTTTTAAAAACCCAAACAGAAGTTACAAGCCTGTTAGGTGTTTTGTTGTTATCTAATTGGCTGACTTGGAATAGGAATATAAATACTCTGACTCCTTAGTAGGGGCAAGTTCTTTCCTTTCTGTTCTAGCTACAGGTAGCCTCTTCAATCTTTTTGGTTTTTGTTTTTCAATTGAGTACAGGGAGTGTATCAGTTTATGTTCAAACAAAGGGTTTTTTTTTTTTTTTTGCTTTTGTTACCATTTTTAATTGACAATAATTGTATACATTTATGGGGTACAGTGTGATATTTTGATACATGTATACAATGTATAATGATCAAATCAGGGTAATTGGCATATCCATCACCTCAGATACTTACCTTTTTTATTTTGAGACAGTCTTGCTCTGTCGCCAGGTGCCAGGCTGGAGCACAGTGGTGTGATCTCGGCTCACTGCAACCTCTGCCTCCCAGGTTCAAGCAATTCTCCTGCCTCAGCCTCCTGAGTATCTGGGACAACAGGTGCACGCCACCACGCCCAGCTAATTTTTGTATTTTAAGAGAGATGGGGTTTCACCATGTTGGCCAGAATGCTGTTGATCTCTTGAGCTTGTTATCTGCCCGCCTCAGCCTCCCAAAGTGCTGGGATTACAGGCGTGAGCCACCCTACCCTGCCCGGCCAATACTTACCATTTTTGTGTGTGTGTGTGTATTGGGAACATTCAAAAGCCCTTCTTCTAGTTATTTGAAAATATGCAATAAATTGTTGTAAATTATAGTTCCCCTATAGTGCTATAGAAAACTAAGACTTATTCCTCCTATCTTGCTATAATTTTGTATCTGTTAACCAACCTTTGATTACCTTCCTCTAACATCTACCATCTCAGCTTATAGTAACCACTATTCTACTCTCCACTTCTATGAGATCAAGTTTTTTAGCTTCTACATATGAGTGAGAACATACAGTGTTTGTCTTTCTGTGTCTGACATTTTACTCAAAATAATGACTTTCCGTTCTATCCATGTTGTTGCAGATGACAGAATCTCATTCTTTTTTATGGCTGAATAGTACTCCATTGTGTGTATATACTTCGTATTCTTTGTCCATTTGTCTGTTGATGGACCCTTAGGTTGATTCTATGTCTTGGCTACTGTGAATAGTGCTGCAATAAAAATTGAAGTGTAGATTGACATGCTGATTTTATACTGCGGTTTCATATATGCACATGCACATACACACGTGTAGAAGTAAGAGAAAGCAAGCAAAATGATAAAGCAAATGGGGCAAAATATGAACAGTGGGTGAATGTGGGAAAAGAATACATATTCTGCATTCTGTTTTTGTTTTTAATTTATTTTTATTTTCAAATTAAAAAAGATACACAGTTTAGCTGTGTTACCTAGGCTGGAGTGCAGTGGCACAACCATAGCTTACTGCAGCTTCAAACTCCTGGGCTTGAGGGATCCTCCTTCTTCAACCTCCAAAGTAACTAAGACTACAGGTGTGCACCACGACGCCTGGCTAATTTTTAAAATCTTTTGTAGAGATGAGGGCTTGCTATGTTGCCCAGACTGGTCTTGAACTCCTGGCCCTAAATGATCCCCTCTGCCCTGGCCTCCCAAAGTGTTGGGATTACAGGTGTGAGCAACTGTGCCTGGCCTTCTGTTTTTATTAATACCACTTTCCTGTAAGTTAAAAATTATTTCTAGATAAAAACAAAACAAAAAAACCTATGATGTTTGCTGTAAGTATTTGGTACATATCCTTCATCAGAAATAAAGACCTTTCCTTCATTTCCTAGCTAAAATACTAATTTGGTGTTAAATTTTATCAAAAGCCTTTTTTCTGCATTGATTGAAATGATTATGTTATTTTTCTTCTTTGGTCTAATAATGTGGTGAGTAACATTTAATAGATTTTTCTGATGTTGAACTACTATTGGATTTTTGGAACAGGTTCAACTTGGTCATGATATATTACCTTTTTTTTAAATAAACTGTTTTGGATTCAGTTTGCTAATATTTAAGATTTTTCAATATTTAAGATGGATATTGAGCTGTAATTTTCCTTTTAGTAGTGTGTTTGTCTGAATTAGAATCTATCTTATACGAGTTTGGTAGAATGGATTATGGAATATCACTTCTTTTTTATATTCTGCAACGGTTTGCATATGATGGGAATTATTCGTTCCTTGAAGATTTGGTAGACCTTGACTGACAAATTGTCTGATCTTGGTATTTTTCCTTCTGAGAAGAGTTTAAAAAATTCAATTCCTTTAATGATTATAGGGCCACTCAGGTTTTCTGTTTCTTCTTGGGTAGTTTCAGTGAATGAGATTTTTAGGAATTTGTCTATTTTCTTTATATTTTTTAATTTACTATAATAAAATTATTCATTATATCCTCACAGCTCTTAAATCTGGTTTTACATGTGGTTTTTGTCCCTCTTTCCATTTCTGATATTACTCACTTTATTTCTTCCTCTATTTTAAAAAAAATCTTGTCAGAGATTTGACATCTTTTTAAACAACTCTGCATTTTGCTGCTGTTCTTTGTTGGTCCTCTCAATTACTTCTTTGTCTTCTACTTCCTTTATTTCTGCCATTCTCTTATTAATCTACTTTTATTTAACTTTTTGTGGGATTTTTTTTTTC